CATATATATATATATATATATATATATATATATATATCACACACACACACATTAGAGGCCCGATGCACGAAATTTGTGCAAGAGTAGGCTTTCCTTCACCCGGCTACTGGCACTGGCTTCCCTCTGGCACCTGGGACCCGGGCTTCCCTCCAGCCACTGGCAGGCACCCGGGACCTGGGCTTCCTTGCAGCCCCAGCTTCGTCTGGTCTAATATATATATATATATATATATATATATATATATATATATGCATGCCAATACAATAAGCATATGAGCTTACATAACAGAGGAACTGACTCAAGGAAAGAGGCAGAAAGCAGAAAGGTCATTTTCTTACTTCTTTGCATGATGCCACCCTCCAGACCAGTTAATTGCTACTCTGCACATTCCATCAATCAGGCATTGGGCAGCTGTGATTGTAGCCCCTCCTACAGATGCTGCGTAGTCAAATATCCCTTCTGTAGCTGGACAGTCATAACCTTTGGGAAAACATCAAAAGAGCTTGTTAAAAGATGAATTGGAGAAAGAGGAGGTGTGATATTGTGATTTATAATAAGAAATATATTTGACCTTTGTCCCCATTTCTGGTACAGAGCTCCTAAAACTCTTGGAATTTCCCCAGTAATGAGAGCAATCCATAAAGGTGTCTGTGTTATGTTAATGAGGCAACCAGTAGACCACACCTAAGGATGAGTCTGGTTGCCAGTGGAGCCAACCATGTGATTAGAGGGTTGGAAGTTTCAGTCGCACTCCTTGACCTCTAGTGAGGGGAGAGGAGCTAGAGATTTAGTTCAATCACCAACTGATCAATGACTTAACCCAGGGGTCCTCAAACTACGGCCCTCAGGCCACATGTGGCCCGCCGAAAACATTTATCCGGCCTGCCAGGTGTTTTTGCTGCTGCTGCCTGTTGCTTAGCAGCCGACTCGTCCCGGGCCCGCAGTGGGCATGTGTTGAATGTGCGCCGCACTCTCCAACTCCCCTCCTTCTCTCTGTCTCTCGACTCCTCCTCTCAGTCTCGGTTGTGATCGGACGAGTCATGAGCTTGCCTGTGCAGAGCCTGCTGCTGCCTGAGGACCGAGGTAAGAACAAGTTAGGATTTATTTTTTTTTTGAAGTTAGGAGGTCTCTTTTTTTTTTTTTATTTTCCAGTTAGTAGGGCCTTTTTTTTTGAAGTTAGGAGAGCCTTTTTTTTTTTTGAAGTTTTGTTTTTTTACTTCAAAATAAGATATGTGCAGTGTGCATAGGAATTTGTTCATAGTTTTTTTTTTAAACCATAGTCCGGCTCTCCAACGGTCTGAGGGACAGTGAACTGGCCCCCTGTTTAAAAAGTTTGAGGACCCCTGACTTAACCAATCATACCTATGTAATAAAGTCTCCATAAAAACCCAATAGGAGAGGGTTCAGAAAGCTTCTGGGTTGATGAACATGTGGAGATTTGGGTAGGGTGGCACGCTTGAAGAGGGCATGGAAACTGCATCCTTCCCCCTATCCCTTGCATTAAGCATCTCTTCCATCTGGCTGCTCCTGAGTTATAGCCATTTACAGTTGACTCTTGAACAACAAAGGGGTTGAGGGGCCAACCATGCTGAATAATTGAAAATTCATGTAGTAACTTTTGATTTCCTAAAAACTTAACCAATAACATAAATAATCAATTAACACATATTTTGTATGCTATTTGTATGTATACTGTATTCTTACAATAAAGTAAGCTAGAGAAAAGGTTGTTAAGAAAATCATAAGGGAGAGAAAAAACATTTTATAGTATTTACTGAAAAACATCCACATATAAGTGGACCTGCACAGCTCAAACCTGCATTATTCAAGGGTCACCTGTATAATTAATAGGTAATCTAGAGAGTAAATGGATTACCTGAGTTCTGTGAGCCGCTCTACCAAGTTAATCAAACCTAAGGAGTGGGTCAGAAGTACAGGTAACAGCCTGGGCTTGTGATTGACATCTGAAATGAGCAGCAGTCTTGAGGGACTAAGCCCTTTACCTGTGGAATTTGATACCATCTCCAGGTATATAGTGTCAGAATTGAGTTGAATTGCAGGACACCCAGCTGATGTCATGAGCATTGCTTGGTGGTGTGGGGGTAAACCCCTCCCTCCACACATTGGAATTGGGTCCAGAACCCTCTTAGGAGGAACAGGTTGAAGTACGACAACAACATACCCTACCAAAAAGCTACTATGCTAAAATCAGCTCCAAACAAGAGAGAAACATCTCTAATATCAAGAAAAGAATTATTTAAAGTGTTGAGGTAGAAAGGCTAAACCTTCAAGATTAACTTGTCATGTCCCATAGATGGAGATACTGAAGTCTAATAGGAGATATGTCTTCTCTATGGTCACAAAGAACCAGACCTGGGACACAGGTCTCTTGCCCTGCCCTCAGTCCAGTTCTTCTACTAAACTATGTTGTTTCTCTAGATTATGCTATTGGCCGCTTCCAATTGTTTTAAATGCAGCTGTTTAATGAAAGATAAAGTAGAAAACTTAGCCACAACATAAATCTGTACTCAAGTTAAAAGATAAGGTAACAGGACAGTTAAATCAGCATATATACAGCCAGACCCAAGCAACTGGAAGATTTTTCTCCATCTGATTATCATTCAGTTCTGCTCAACTCAAATGGTTTGCTTGTTAAGTGAGATGTATGTGGCTAAACTGAGAGATTAAGTTGTGGTTAACACATTAGTCCTTAATTTAAAAAGTATTGAAGACCACCATGCAAGTTATAAAAGATTAAGTAGTACTGATACATAAATGGAGGTTGTATATCTCCCACCATTGCTTAGTAATAACATTACCTAGGCCATATTCTATGGAGTCTGGATGATCGTCATCTCCTTCTTGGCTGACCTTCTGGAGATGCTGCAGATAGGCATCGGTGTGGAAGGTGGCCATCTCCTCCATGGAGGCCACTTTGGGCTTAACTATTCTAATAATAACAGAGAACAAGGAGAGGTGAGTGAGTCAGATCCAGAGCATGCCAAAAGCTAGAAGCAGGAACTAGTGATATGAGCAGAAAATACAACTAGCTTCTTGTTCCAGTGGCTAAAGTAATAAACATGTTCTGTTCTTCCAATGCACTATATACCAGTAGTCTTTATTTCCTCACAACTATGTAATGGCTCCATTAATGGGGGTGAGAGGATAGATTTTCCCCTTGAGTGTATAGGTAGTAAAAGAAAGTATATTTAAGTTAAATAATCAGATATTGGACATTACTTTGAGAGTTATAAATTTCATGACAAAGCAGCAGGCTGAGATATTTTCATCTGAATCAGCTCCTAATTGGGCCATGTAATCCTTTCAGCTATATTTTTACTTTCATAGGCAGTTATATTGTTATGAATTTTGAATTTGGAGTCAGATAACTATATTCCTGTACTAACTGTACTTACCAGCTCTATAACCTCAGATAAGAATTCTTCTGTAGCTCAGTTTCCTCATCTGTAAAGTGGGGAGATCTTATGGAACTTATATGATAACATATATAAAATGCTTTGTGGATAATCATTGTTAATATTAAAGGATAAAAAAAGGCAACCCAAAACATAAAAGTTCCTGTGTTTGGTCCCTCAGACCTGCCTCTGAGGAGAAGGAGAGGAAGGGCAAACAGTTGGAGCTGGGCTTTACCCAGAAGCTCCCAACCAACTCCTCACAAGTGACAAACAGGAGTGACTGAGAGAATACAGATGCTAAGCTAATGACAGGACTTACCACCTCTAACTTCTAGCTGCCTATTTATTTCCTATTTCCTCTTCCTGATTCCACCACTGTCTCTACTGCCCAGGCCACTCAAAGGGTGGTCTGTGACTGACAGCAGCATCACCTGGGGGCTTGTTAGAAAGGCAGAATTTAGCCTAACCTCCAACCCACTGAGTCAGATTTGTATTTTAACAAGGTAATTCATATGCATATTTAAGTTGGAAAAGCAATAACCTAGGCTACAAGGAGGCAGTACTTTTTTTTTAATGTTTGTTGATTGGGAACAGGGCCACATGTAGGGAGCGGCTATAGGGTTAAGCCTCGGACTGACCTGTTGGCAAAGCCACAAACAAGTCCCAGCTTAGAGGGCACAGCCCTCTTAGCATAATTAGGCTTGACTTTATGACTCCCTAGATCAGTGGTTCTCAACCTTTGGCTGCACATTAGAATCACCTGGAATCTTTTTAAAATCCTGATTTCTGGGCTCATCCTCGGAAATTCTGTTTCTTTGTACTAGGAAGGCGGCCAACCCTTTACAAATAAAGGAATTTCGGAGAATGGGCCAAAAACCGGAATTTTAAAAGGTCCGGGGATTCTAATTTGCAGCCAGGGTTGAGAACCACTGCCCTGGATCTTATCTGGGAAGCTAATGGGCTGTAGGAGGTGCAGCAAGTGCTGCCAAAACAAGTGAAACTCACAAGAACACTGTAACTATAGTGACCACTACCTTGTTTACCTCCCGCTATAAAATAAAGGCTCAGCTTGCCCTCTGTGGCCTCAGCCAGGCAAAGGAGATCCACCCAGCTTATTCTCTTTGTCTGTCTTTTCTACATCCTTCGCTGCCCCCCCACCCCCACCCCTCAGGCTCACAGAACCCTTGGCTGTGCTGGCCCAGCACAGCCACAAGTTTCTTCTGAATTACTATGACTTTTCATGTTAGGGCAATCACCAAACAGGCCAGAAGAATCCTGAGGCTCCGCCTCAAAAAATTATATATAGCCAAGATTGGAGGATTTGATTCTTGCTCCTTCTTCAAGAAAACATGTCTACATCCTTGGAAGTGACAAATCTGCCCATTAAAATAAATTTTTTAGTTTCTTGGACCATGTTTCCCAGCCCTAATAGTTCTTCTAGTAACCTTCCTCTTACTTAATACTTACTGAAAGCCTCCCCATGTACCCAGCAAGGAAATGTGACAGTTTTACTTTGTTTTGATTTGTCTTACAGTCAGCTTTTGAAATGTTAAATGACTTTAATGGAAGGCATTCGTTTTTATGTTTATCAAATATATGGGTTGAGAAACATTCCCAAAGAAGGTGCTCAATAAATGATTTAGTTAATAAAAAGGATAAAATCTGAAAGCCTGTTACAGTACGTCTGGGAGAGAAATGAGGCATATCACACTAACAGGTGTAAACAGACATTTATTTGGCCAGAAAATGTCATAAATAATTCTACAAGTGTCCGGGTGTTACTTTTATTTACTCTTAAAATGACAGTGAGTTCACTTTAAAAAAAAAATGCACTTAGCTCTGTGCCTGGTCACAGGAATTTTCTTTGGTTTTGACTTGTCTCCAGGCTCACTCATTAAAGTTTGGTGGTGGTTATGGTGTGCCTAAAAGTCTTAAGTTGAACCTGCACCCTCAGATCTAGCTCAGGGGGAAAAACAAATCAGAACAACTCCTAGCTGAACACCTATTTTTTAGTGCCCAAATGTATTCACCTCAAAATTTCCACAAAGCACCTATCCCTATGAGACTTTCTTTTTATTTTTTATTGAATTTACTGGGGTGACATTGGTTAATAAAATTGTATAGGTTTTGCCCGGCTGGCGTGGCTCAGTGGTTGAGCGTGGAGCTATGAACCAGGAGGTCACGGTTCGATTCCCAGTCAGGGCACATGCCTGGATTGCAGGCTTGATCCCCAGTGTGGGGTGTGCAGGAGGCAGCCAATCAATGATTCTCTCTCATTGATATTTCTATCTCTCCGTCTTCCTTCCTCTCTAAAATCAATAAAAATAATAATAATAAAAGCTCTACTTCTTTCAGAGCAAACTTTAAAAAATTATATAGGTTTCAGGTATAAAATTCTACAACACATCATGTGTATATTATATTGTGTGTTCACCAGGATACTTTCCCTCTCAGCAGTCAAGTCCTATTTGAAATGGATCATAAGTGCTTCGTGCATTTTTTTCAAGTTTTCTTAATTCTTAAAGAGCTTTTACAGGCAAATTATATACCCTATGAATCACAAAAAACTTTAAAAGAAGCACCACTCTCTCCCTAATTAGTCCCACTGTGAAGCAGGATTTTAAGGCCAGGACCACCTGGGTTCAGGGCTTTGTTCATGAAAGATAACTTACCTCATTTGTTTATGCAGTGCATATGCTTCAATCAAAGAATGTACCATACTGGCCTAAAAACATCAGCAAAAAGAAAAAAGCAGAAAATAGTCCCTTAATGTTTAATTCCGAGAAATTGCGTGGACTTCATTATCCTGAACAAAGGAACGAACTTTTAGCCCCACTCTTTTCGTTTTACTTAACAGTTACAAAGCACTGCAGACAATATAGATACCAATCGCTAAGGAGAAAGCTACGGGGCCTGAGGGAGCTGATGGACCACTTTTGTCCTGCAGCTTCTCCACCACTTCAGGGACCCCTTGCAATAGAGACACCACCCATCAGTGCCAGACCCTCCTCCGGCCCTCCCGCCCCCATATGTGTCCATTGGGAGCCCGACTGATAAACACAGTACCCTCAGAAACTGTAAGGGAACACTTCCTCCATCGCCTCGTACAACTGCCCAAATTACTGCTGAAGATTTCCCCCAGCCCAGTATTTTCTTCGCTTCCTAATGCCTCCCGTCCACCCCTCCAACCCCAACCCCACCCCCACCGCAAAAGCCCACGGACTTTCATCCCAAGTTCTCTTACCCTTTTGGGGACTTTGGCCAGGGAGTCGCACATGCTGACATACTCGGGACTGTAGATGTAAACCGGGGGCAGGGAATGCCCACTGTCTGCAGGTTCCTCTGGCTCCTCCATCTTCCACTTCCAGCCGTTCCGGGGCCACCATCCGGATCCGGCTTTTCTCGGACTCAGCCCGGGCTCCAGTTCCTGCTCCTCTGATCGGCTGCAGCGGTGCTCCCTAGTCAACATTCCCTCCTATTCTCCAGATCGCCAGTCACTGTCCTCGCTCTCCATCCAATTGAAGGAATGCATGGGCCTTCCCAGGCCAGAACCTCTTCATTTAGTGACCACAGTTCAAAAAAGGTTGGCAGGTTGGCAGATATAAAAGCCCAGATAACTGTCAATTAGGATCGATGTTTTATGGTACATATAAGCACGGTCAAAACTAACCATCCTTGTTGCCCTACGGGGCCATTTGAGATGAGGTCAGACGAGCTTCAGAGCATGCTGGGAGATGTAGTTTAGAGGAATTTGAGGAGCGGAAGAACCGGGTTAATTATTAAAATAGCCGCGAATTTGAGTTTTAGCGCTAAAAAAAAAAAAAAAAAAGCCTCAACTCTTTATGAATTGTTTCAATCTGAAAACACACCCATATAATTAAAGGCAGACACAATGTGGCCACCAAGAGTACCGCCCAGCTACCAGAGTGACTTTTTTTTTTTTTGGTGGAGGACCAATTAATGCTACAAAGGGTTTGAAAAGTTTACACAATAACTTCTGTGCCTCTGTGCCTCATTGCTTTTCATCACCTATCCATGTTTTTAAGAGTTAACAATCTCATATGTATAGATAAAAGTGATCAATTTTTTAAAGAGTTAACACTCTCAAATTGACTCTGGCAAAGCTGATAGCACTTTCCCAAGAGGCTGGCTGGTACTCTGGAAATTGCTTGGTAGACTCCAAACAATGATGTCAAATTACTCCTTAAAAACTCATGTGCACTAAAGGTGTAAGCAGATACTTTCTGTAATGTTTGGAGATTGCTGATTTAACTCCCCTTGCTTTTGCAGCTGTTGAAAAGTTAGGGAAATTGTTTAGGTTTCATGTGAGGGTCCACATTAAATAATACTCTGAAGCAGTTTTAGAATTATTACCAGTATTTCCAAGTTCCTAGAGGACTCTATGCACTAATACAAGCTGATCAATGCTGAAGCCTGAACTGACTTACTAACACGCCTCAGACAACCCAATATCCATACCTTCTTCAAAAATCTACCTTGCTTTTTACTCTCTAAATATTTATTGAGCATTTCAATATGCACTTGTATATATTATCTCATTTCGTCCTTGCAACAGTTCTATGAAGGAGGTTGTAATGCGCCCTTTTACTTAGAAAAGCAGGAATTCAAAACCAGGTCTGCCTGACATTGAAGCCTTTACTGTATAAACTTGATTCCTCCAAGGATAACTGTGTTAAATCTAAATTTGTTCATTCGTCCATTTAGTATCCCCACAATACTTCGTATTCTGCAAATGTTTCTTTTTCCTGTGATGTGTTCTTTAACTAGAATGTAAGCCCTCCAGCTTCTTTTATACTTTCCCATAGCAACAAGTTCAAAGCTCTGCACAAATTCAGTCAAATATATTTGCAAAATTCAGTCAAATATATTATAAAGGTACTCTTAGCTGACATCAACTAAGTATGGTACAGCTAAGAATTCAATTTGATCTCTGTTCTTAGGGAATTTGCATGCTCATAGTGATGAGACAAATACACACAAAAAAACATATGCAACGCAGAGTCAGATAATGAATATAGGATGCTTAGATTACTTAATAAATAAGCATCAAGTATTTGATAACTGGTACTTAAATGGCAACTGGGATTCTTATTCAGTGTCATTAGAGGGGGTCTTAGCAGATAGACAGGATTTTACTTGAAGATGGGAACCAGGGGAGGGCATACAGACTAGCATCACCAACATAAGTGAAAATACAAAGGAGAATACTAGTGTATCTAGTGTAGTTTAGATGAAAGGGCTGGATAATGAAGGGTTTTGAATGCCAGGCTAAACAGACTTCTCATCCTGTGAAAAATGGGAAGATATTAAAACAGAAATCTTTTTTAAAAAAGATTTCTACAGCAGTAGTGTGCAGGAAAGATGAGCTATTGAAAGACAAGAGGCAGGGAGAGTGTCACAATGGTCCAGACAATAAGTAATGATGATTTAAACTAGGGTAGGGGCAATGGGAGCAGAGAGGGAGAAACAATACACAGGGTAGGTTCAATAGGTCCTCCTTACTACTTGGATATTGGTGAGAGAGAGATGGAAAAGAGTCAGTGAAAACTCTTAAATTTAAAGTCTTGGTGAAGAGTCTAGTAGTATCAATATAACGCAGAAGAGAACGAGGAGGAATAACTCATAGGGTAAAACAGAATGAACATGAGTTAGATTTTAAAAATGTTAAAAGTGTTGAATTTCATAAATCAACAAGTTAAGCAGGTGCTGAACCCATTTTTCCCTACATAAGAAAGAGATAGCTAAAGTCATGAGTGGTTGAGATTGTCAAGGGATCTATCTGAGAAGTTAAGAGAACTACACTGGAATGTCAGTTACATCTTACTTAACATTTTCAAACCAAATTCCTGATTTCCCCATCCAAGTCTTTCCCACCCCTTCCCCATCTTTCACAGCTCAGTAACAAGACCAACAGCTATCAAGTTGCCTAAGCCAGAAACCTGGGAGTTATTTGTATTCGCTCTTTCCTTCACTCTCAAATCTAATCCATCAGCAATTTACATTGGTTCCACCTCCAAGACATGTCTTAAATACTGTACATCCACTTCCCTCCATCCACACTGCTGCTACCTGAGCCCTGGAACTCTAATCTCTCACCTGGACCTTCAGCAATATCTGACTAGTTTCTATTCCACTCCTGCTGACTTTCAACTCATTCTTTTTAGCAGCCATCAGAGTGAGCTTAAAAAAAAAACCTCAATCAGATGTCACTTTTTAAAACCTGCCCCACACCATGGTGAGAAACTTTGAGCTAGGAAGATAATGTAATTTTTGAGAATGCCTGTTTGTGGGGGTTAGGAGGAGAAAAGATGCCAGAAAGGAGACAAAAAAGGAATAGTTGGGTGATAACTAGTATAGTACAGTTTCATATAAATCAAGGGGTGACAGGGTTATAAGGAAAAGGTAATAACAATGTCATGTATTGCAAAAGAGTCAAAGAATCCTTTTGTCATTGGGAGCTCACTGGTGCTCTATGGAAAAAAAAAGAGAGAGAGGTAGAGAGAAAGCCAGATTGCAGAGGGTTCAAGAGTGCGGTCAACATTGTCAAGTGTAGTTTCCTTTGAAGAAATTGTGAAAAAAAGTAGTATATCAGCCTGGGGGAATGTCAGAGCCCAGGAATGTTTTTTTTAGGACAAGGGAGAAACGCATCTGTTTATAGACAGAGGGGAACAAGCCCCTTGGGCTTTAAGAATTGACTGATGGGACTTCCAACTTCTAGGAATATATCATAAGAAATCAGAAACACTGATCAGAAACGATATATGCACCCCTCTATTCATAGCAGCACAATTTACAATAGCTAAGATTTGGAATCAGCCTACGTGCCCATCAGCAGATGAGTGGATTAAAAAACTGGTACATCTGCTCAATGGGTTACTACGCTACTGTAAAAAAGAAGGAACTCTTACCATTCGCAGCAGCATGGTTGGACCTGGAGAGCATTATGCTAAGCGAAATAAGCCAGTCAGAGAAAGATAATTATCACATGATCTCAATCATTTGTGGAATATAATGAACAACATTAAACTGATGAACAAAAATAGAGCCAGAGTCATAGAAGCATCGAACAGACTGTCCAACCTAAGAGGGAAGGCAGGGGAAGGGGAGGGAAGAGATCAACCAAAGGACTTGTATGCATGCATATGAGCATAACCAATGGGCACAGACTGTAGCGGGGTGAGCGTATGTACTGGGTGCTGGGAGTGGCTGGGGAGAGGTCAATGGAGGAAAAAGGAGATTTATGTAATACTTTAAACAATAAAGAATTGAAAGATGAGATCATGACAGGTGGGCGCTATAAGGAGGAAATGGGACTTGTCCTCGACCTTACTAGATAGGCAATGGAAGGGAGAGGGTAAGGTTGACCAACTGACACCCAAAAATCTAGTCTAATCAGATGACATGAAAAAAGATTGTTTTATGTGTTCTTTCAGACGTAGCAAACAAACAGGTAACTGAACACTTCAACGTGGGAACTTTGCTTTTAAACTGGAAACAGTATCCTCAATTGGCAAGAGGATTCAACTGTGGTGAAAGATAAACTGTTGCAGGAGGCTTTGTAATTGGCAGCGTATTCCTGCAGCAAATCTCACAGGGAGGCTGGAGCCTTGTTTATGACTAAGACAGAACACAAACCTTGCCATAAGTCCCTAACCTCAGTTTTCCACACGCTTAATAACCATACGGTCCTTAAGTTGGGAAGAAAACCTTTTCCAAAACAATGGATTTGCAGCCAGAGTACTTGAGTTCAGAAGTAGCTTGAATCGTGGCTCCAAAGTTTTCCTGTGTGTGGTGCCACTGAGCAAGTTCCTTGACTGACTTACCTTGGGCATTATTGCTAAAGGTAGTTTTTGAACTAGCAGGTCATGTTGGGCTGTGCCACTTTCGTTGATTTCTCCTGCCTTTACTTGCTGGCAGAAGCAGGAAAGCAAATATATTATAAAGGTACCTACTCCTTTGGCCATCTTCTTCTGTGCATTTCACAGTCTGCTTATTGATACGTCAACTGTACTTAACAGACTGGCCCTAGTTTTCACACCATTTTCTAATGTCTTTTCTTTGGGGAATGTCTCAACAAATCTGAACTCTAGAATCACACTGCTTGGGCTCAAATCCCAGCTCTACCACGTACTAGTTGTTTGATCTGGAACAATTTGCTTAAAAGCTAAGTGCCTCAGTCCTTGCCAAATGCCCATATAACAATGTTTGGCATTATGCCAAATATTCCTTAATTTTTGGAAAAGTCTCCCCCCATTGTTGTTCTCATCCCCATACCTTTACTGCATGAGTATTGCTAGTGGTTTGAGAATAGGTCCTTGGCTTTTAGGCTTACCCTTAAAAGAAATCAGACTTCTTCTTAAGTGGTCTGCTTAAGGTGACCATATCATCCAAACTGGGACACTTTTGAGAGTGACAGAGAGTGCTATTCATAATTATGCCAGGACAATAGGCATAGATGGGGACTGTTCTGGGCAAACCAAGACCTAAGGTTAACCAAGTTTACTAGAAAGTGAAGACTATATGTGGAAAACACTGTGTCTCCACTGCATTAGTAAAGATACTAGGTATTTGGCAAGTGCAAAAATGGATGGTAGAGGTTTTGTGAGCTGTGGCTAAGAACAACTTTTGCCCTGCCAGCTGCATAAAATTCCCCAAATGTAGTAAAACCTAACTAAC